TGTCTTTGCAGCATAGTTATTAAGGATCATATTCATTCTGTAATTTGCTTCCTTTTTCTTAATGTATTTGAAAAACCTATTTTTGGTATCTGAGTCGCTTACTCTTCTACCAAAGATGCCTTTCTTGTTAAACATGCAGAATGTTTTTGTTTTTGTTGTCATTTTGAGTATCTGGCATTTTTACATTTTCAGTTCATTCAGTGTTTATTCCCCAAATATTTATTGAGTGCCTACATGTACTAGCTACTATGTAGATCAAGGCTAAAACCAGAACTGATTCCTCCTCTGATGGAACTCACAAGCTGCCAATTCCATCCAAGATGGAATAGGCGTACTACAACCTCTTTTCTACTGCTCACAACCTAAAATTGTAGACAAAATGTAAAGAGCAACTACCTGAAGTCTCAAAAGTAAACAAAAGCAGGTGGATTGTGAAGGACAGTCAAAACAACAGGTGTGAATTTCTCTTGTGTTTGCATCTTTGACCTGAAGGCAGGCTCCAATCATGCAACCATGTAAGGACAGCACAGGAGGCAAAAACTACAATAGAAAACCTATTTTTATCCCCTGAAAATCAGGGGAGTGGATCCTCTATTCCAAAGAAATTGTAGGGAATTGTTATTGTTGTTTTCTTTTTTCAACTTTTCCCCAAGGGCAAGCCCTATTTATGACATTATGGGCAGCTAACACTCAGAGAAAAACCCCATCTGACCAGAGAAACCAGGAAAAGAGAACTTGAGAGATATATAGTGGAAGAGGCGGAGATACAGATTTAGGAGAGGAGAAAGCTGGAGAAAGGGGTTCCTTAATTCTCTGTGTGAACTTAACCTAGTGTCTTGGGTCACCTCCAGCTGTGCATGCATGAGAGAGGCCCAAAGCAGCATGGCAATAGCTTTAAGAACTGGAGTAGGATCAAAACAAAACAAACAACTAAGAAAACACTGCCCATGTCACAGACAAGTCCTGGAGTGGTTCATGCATGGGACAGACCAAAGGCTTTGAAAACAACTGAGATTGGAAACAATGCCCAAAGAAAGTTAAGAGAGAGCTTATGATCTACACCTAACTCAATGGATTGCCTGCTAAACAAACAAACAAATTAAATCTTCTTTAGAGGATTTTAATAGGACTCAGAATCTGCATAACAAAATGTCCAGGATATACTCCAGAAGTACTTGATAAAGAACCAGGAAATGATTATCTTAAGGGGGGAAAGACTCAACAGATGCCAACACAAAATGACACAGATGTTGAGATAAATCAAAGATGTTAAAGCAGCTATTATAACTATATTTCATGTGATAAAGCATATTATAATGAACGGGAAGATACTCCTTCACAACAGAAAAATAAAAACAGAGAAGCAAGTAAATATTTTTGAACTAAAAAATATAGTATCTGAACTAAAAATTCACTCAATAGCAGAATAGAAATGGATGAGGAATCAGTGAACTTGGTGATTAATAAGTAGAGATTTTCAGATCTGAAGAACAGTATAAAAGAGATTGAGAAATAAAATGAATAGGGCCTCAAGGACCTGTGCAATACTATTACGGAGGCTACAGCCTAATGAGGCAAAGAGATTAAACAATCACTCTAATGAATATATAATTACAGATAAAAATAGATAAATGTTCTGAAGAAAAGGATCAGACTTCTATAAGAGCATGTAAAAACTGGGCCTGACTTAGCCTAGAGGCAGACAAGGTGTCCTAAATATTTCTCTGAGGATATGGTCCTTGAGCAGACGCATAAAAAGGAGTTAACCAAATGAAGGGTAGGTTAGTGGTCGAGAGTGTTTCAATTAGAAAGAAAAGCAAATGTTAATCTGCTGCAGAAGGAACCTGGCAATTTCAAGAAATGAAAGAACGTCAGAGTGTCTAGGAGTGATAAAAAATCGATGGGGAATGGTATGAAATTAAGTTAAAGACGGAGCCAGGCACCATATTGTGCAGCATCGTTGCAAAGCATTGAATGTTTGTATCCCCCAAATTTCACATGTTGAAATCTTAACCCACAATTAGATGATATTAGGATGTGGGACCTTTGGAAGGTAATTAGGTCATGAGGGTAGGGATTTGTACCCTTACAAAGGGATTTGTACCCTTACAAAGGGATTTGTACCCTTAGAAGAGGGACCCCAGAGAGCTCTCTAGCTCTGTTTTTGCCATGTGAGGATACACCAAGAAGTTGGCAACCCAGAGGAGAGCCTTTACCAGAACCAAACCATTTTGGGATCCTGATCTCCGCCATTCAGCCTACAGAACTATGAGGAATAAATTTCTGTTGTTTATAAGCCACCCAGTTCTGGTACTTTGTTATAGTAGTCTGAACTAAGGCAGTCCTGTTAAATACCAAGGGTGGGCAAAAGTAGGTCTACAGTTGTGAGTACACAAAGCAGTTTATTTTTGTATTATTTATTAATTATTCTATTCTTTTCCATATGAACAACTGTAAACTTACTTTTACCCATCCCTGTATTTTTGTCTTTTTCCTAAAGGCAGTGAGGAACATTAGGGCACTCAACTGGTGAACTAGTCAAGAATCAAGGGATGGAACCTTTGGACTCGCCAACTTTTAGCAGTTGAGAAGGATGAGGCTATATACTGGAGACAGAGAAGGAATAAGAGGATGGGGGAGAAGGGCAGAAATGAGAGAGTGGCTTAACAAGAGCCAAAAGAAGAATGTTTTATTGTGTCATGGTCAATTGAAGATTGTTTATGACCTTAATTAGAATGTTTTGTGGATTGAAAGGAGTAGAACCTCAACTAGAGAACATGGAGGGGTGAGTGAAAAGGTAATCCACAGAATGAGAGAAAATATTTGCATATCATATATAAGATAAGTAATTAATATCCAGATATATGAAGAACTCTTACAACTCAACAACAAAAAAACAAATAACCCAATTTTAAACTGGACAAAGAATTTGAATAAGCATTTCTACAAAGAGGATATACAATGGCAAAATAAGCAAATGAAAAGAAGTTCAATATCACTAATCATTGGGGAAATGCAAATCAAAACCAAAATGAGATACCATTTCATACCCATTAGGATGGCTATTATCAAAATAACAAAAAACAAGTATTGGAAAAATTGAACTCTGTGCTTTGCTGATGTGTACATAAAATGGTATAGTCACTATGGAAAACAGTTTGTCAGTTCCTCAAAAAATTAAACAGAATTACCATATGATCCAGCAGCTCAATTTCCATTTTTTAAAAAGGGGCAAGAGATTTGAACAGGAATTTAGTACTTAAAAAGTTATTCAAATGGCCAATAAATGTATAAAAATATACTAGTCATCAAGAAAATGCAACTTAAATTCAGAATGCAATATCTCCAGAATAACCAAAAGGAAAAAGATGATACCAAGGTTAATAAGGATTTGAATAATAGTAAAGAGAACTTAGTTCAAATTCTAGCTGTGCCACTTGCTAGATGTGTGACTTTGGGAAAATTCTTTAACCTTCCTCAGTCTGTTTCAACATCTATAAAATGATGATAATAATACTAAATAACTCAGAGTTATAATTCTAGTGAGATGATTCATGTTAAGTGCTTAACATAGTCCAACTGTGTCAGCTGTTATTGTATCATTTAATCCTCACAATAACCAATGAATTAATATTGTAACATCTCACAGATAAGGAAATTGAGGCTTAGGGAGATACATCACTTTCTGCAATCACTAAAAGATAAAGGGGAGAGTGAAATACATTTCTATCTCAGCTCCAAAGTCCTTGCTTTTAGTTACTATGCATACCATCTACCAATTCCACTCTTGGCAAATACGTAAAAAGAGTATTGAGTAATGGCCAGGCACAGGTATTGCTTGACACAGTATCAAGCTTCTCTTACAGCTGCTAACCTATGCATTTATTATTCAGACTCCTTATCTAGGTTTTGAAGCAATAATGTATGGTATGCTTGCCTGAATTCCAAGCCCTGCTATGCTAATCATGACATAATTGCAAATCTTAAAATATGCTGCCTGGTTCTTTGATGTCTCTGCTTGTATGATTCTTAGTATTATGTGCCTGCTCCGAGTCCATCTCCTAATTATGACTCATAGTTTCTCCTAATTCTGCCAGTTCAAATGCCACCTTGATCACTGTAACATCACCCTGTTTTATTTTCTTCAGTACTTAATCATAGGCTGAAAATATTGTCTTTCCCTTATCCCAACAATGTAAGCTCCATGAAAGTAGAAACCTGTATTTCTATTTTGTTTTGCTGCTTTATCTTCAGAGCCCAGAAGAGTAGACATTCAAAAATTGAGCAGTTGAACTTTGTGCCCTGACTTCAAGTTTTTTAATGGTACTAACCCTCAGCCTGTCCCTTGAAAACTTGACACAGCTTAGGTGATTCACTCACCCTCCTTGTTTGTAGAGCTTACTAACACTTAACTTCCAGCAGCTAATGACAGGTAGTCATTCTAACAAGGTAATAACTATGATACTTCCTTCAATTAAAATGGAATTCTACTCTAAAGGGGCTTAGACATCTAATTTTTTTTCATCAAATTTAAAAAATAAGTGTTATTTTCTGTTTAATGTCATAAATTAATTTATGATCCCTTACAGGATTTTATAGACTAATGTTTTTCTTCATTAAAGTGAAACAGTATATGGTAAATAGCATATGGTAAATACTCAAATGCGAATGTTCCTTTTCATTTAAAATTTTTCATTATTAAAATTGCTTGCCTTTAAAAAAAAAAAAAAAAATGGTATACTTAAAACACTAGGGGGTTTGGTCTTATCAAATACCTAAAAGTTAAAACTTGAAATATTTTTCTCCTCAGCAGCAACTCAAGAACTGAAAGATATTTTTAAGGCAAAGATACTTCCCTACACTCAAAGGTAGCAAAGATCCCAGAGAAGGTAAAAACAAGATATTTTTAAATAAAAGTTTCCAGACCTTATTCTTCTCTTAATGTGGTTCTAGTTCATTCTTTTTTTTTTTTTTTTCTAGTTCATTCTTATTCAAAATAAAACCTATTTTATTTTGTTTAAATGTTGGCCTTACAGACCTTTCAGATGGGCCAAGTATAAAGACAGATGTATCAGTAACTTAGAGAAGTAGGCATTAATGTAGTTGATCATGTTTCATTTTAACTTTTCTTGGCATCTCTTATGAAGGAGTGTGACTGAAGATAGGGTAAATCAATGGTGGAAATGATGTCAAGCATGAAATAAAGAGCTGGGTTTTCTAATATATGCTTTTAAGATATACCCAGCATTATGAACATTCAGAAGTATTACATTTCTGTGTAATTATGGTTTTTAAAAACTTATGCACATGACTTTGGTTAACAACTTTAAAATTAGTATTGAAACTGTTTTGACTATAAAGATATCTGACTTGACAGTGATACAACTTTATGATTTAAAAAACATTAAGAAATTAATCCCACTTAACCATGTTTGTTCTCAGACGGATTTATAGTCCTGTTTTTTTCTTTCAAATAATTTTTCTTTTAAATATTAGCATGTACACCACAGAACCAGAAAATGAACATTTGGAGAATAAAAACATCGAATCATCTATAACTCCTCAGGTAAAAACTTAAAACTATACTGTGATATATGATGTAAAAATCAACCTGATCTTAAACTGTGTTTCTAAAGCCTATTTGTTAGGATTCCCTCATATATCTGGTTAAAAAAATGAGAATTGGTCATTTTAAAATAGCTAGTTTTAATAGGTCCTAAGAAATGAGCAAAAAGAATAAAAAGATGGAAAGGGGTGACTACAGATTACTTTGGAGCTAAAGAGGGCATATTTTAGGAATAGTGGAAATGTTGCTTTTATTTTTTGCCATGTCCAGGGAAAAGTCAGTAATTTAGACTACAAAAGGTAAAGACAAATCTAAACTAATTAAAATGTTGTACTGTGTATAGGGTGGGACAAAAATAGATTTACAGTTGTTCATATGGAAAATAACACAAAATTAATAAATAGTAAGAATGAACTGTGCTTCACATACAACTGTAAGCCAACTTTTGCCCCACCCTATATTTGAAGAGACCCAAGTTTTATTTTTGCAAGTGTACAGACTAAGTGAGTAGACACTTTTTTGGTCTAGTTTTACTAAATAATAATTGCTCATATTAGAATTGTAATTTTTTCATTTTTTAAAATAGAGATTTCTATGGCTCTTAAGGGCCAAAAAGTTCTTTTAAATATTTAAAATATTCACCACTAATTCCAATTACTATCTTTACCTGTAAAGATTTCATCCTAGTCTATGTCAATTTATTATAAATTCTGAAATAATAAAACTTAAAGCAATGTGGTTTTACTGTATATGCCCTTTCACCCACCCTAATCAAAATTCACCTTTGTGTCCTAATCTTGGCCCTTTTGTATAGTGACAGACTTTCTAAAAAATGCCTCTATACAGGAACTCCAATAGATTAACCATGATTAGGTTTAAAGAACTTTGATCTTAAAGAGCTACATAATTTGTTTACATTAGCTGCTGTGGTGCCTCTGTTCCCCTAGTCATTAAATATTTTCTCTTCCTTTCCTTATTCTGTCCATGCTCTCTAGCCTTTGTTACCATTTCTTATGACAATGTGATGTTCTCTCTCCCCTGCACTCAAAGACCCAAAGTATTAACAGTGCACTCAAAGTGCGGCCTGTGTGTGCACATGTGTACACATACATTCACACACACACACATACACACATCATGGCAAAAGCAAGGCAAATTTAAAGATCTCTGTTCCAGGCTTTACTCGACCCTGTTTTGCTTTTTGATTTTTTAAATTTTGTTTGTGTTTTTTTTTAACCTGGGGAAAAACTTCTCAATATTCTCACAAGCTGTTTTTTCCCCTAAATCAGCAATTTCATAATTAGACTAACTACCATTGAAAGCCTGGAAGATTGAGGTATACCCCTGAACTATCTGAAAATGCTATCCATAAATAATAGTGGAAGCATGAACCTTCATCTTCTGAAGGCTTGATCTGTTTTTCTTTTTTCTTTTAGTTACATAATTTTTGAAATGAAATGAGTTCATATGAGATTATATTTTACCTCCTTTCCAATTTAGTTGTATTTTCATTCCACAGAAGTTTTGTTGAATAATCTTTGGGAGTTAGATTTAGGAGGGACACTTTTAATTCTTCTGTTTACACTATAGGCTCACTTATTCAGTATACATGAATCACAAATGAAAATGGTGGGAACTGAAGTCTATAAAAGGCTAAATCAAGGTGCCCTGCAAAATGCACAGCTATGATATCCCTATATGTCAATATCATATATTGATAGCATGAATAGACTTTTGTGTGTGTAATTCTCCATGTTGACAAATAGTAGTATGAGTTTAATTATAAGATTTGGTGGTTTTGTACATTCATAAAACTGTGTGGAAAGTATATTTCTTAAAAGATTTCTTTGTTTTACTTCAGATCCTCAAAGATAGTAATACTAGTGAACATGAAGAAACTAAGGAAATCGTCTTCTCAAAAACAGAGGAAACAAAACCAGAGATGTCAAAAAATGGTTGTCCTCCACAAGGGACATTGAATAAACATATTACAAATGGTATGTGAAATAAGAAATGTAAATGGAGAGAAAATAAGAAATATATTTGATAAATATTAAACCACAAGGCCACAAAACCACTGCTTAATTTATGTACTCCAGATCACATGATCGTCTCTCTTACAGTCAACATGCGGGCAAAGAATAAATGTTTCCTTGAATCTGTCAAAAAAATAATTGCTTAAGAGATTTATATTTTAATGGTTTTTATAACTTTTAATGTTAAAGTGTGGAGATTAGAAACAGCATTGACTAAAATTTTTTATTTAAAACCTACTTTTCACATTTATTTTCAAGTTAGCTAAAAGGAACATTATACTTTTGGCAGTATTTAGATTCTTATTAAATTAGGCCCCAATTTTTAAAACATCTGTTGCCTTGTAAAGAATTATACAAAACTTGCTTTCCCACTAACATTTTAAAGTATCTCATTGTCACCAAATATGTATGAGATTTTCTTGATTTTTTCCTAGATGTTACATATGATTAAACTTAAAAGAGAAAGAGATTTTGACCTCCAGAAGTATAGAGCCTATAGAAAACAAAAATTATTTTAAAATATGATAAGGATAAGCAATTAAAGTTTTAAACTTTTAATTTTTATTTGCTGCTTTTGTAACTTTAAACTTTTAAAAGCAAATTTTGTTAATTGATTTTTCACTGGTAAAGGTTGCTTTTTAATTAATGTCAGTGTATTTAAGGCCCTATTTCTAAACTAAACTAGAATATCTGCCAGTATAAATGGTTGGACTTCTTTGTAAATATAATTTCTGCACTTAGGTCTTACCTGCATGTTCCCATGACCCTATTTAGTGGGTATTTTCTATAGAACAGTTTTTAGGAGTAGGCAAGGGCCTATGGAAAGGGAAAAATGTGTTAGTCACCAAAGGTTTTCCATTGAGGTTGAGGACTGCAGTTTTCTCATAAACTAATTGAGGAGTTTTATAACAACAGTATTGAAACTACAAACTTGCTTAGATCCATAACCCATTTCTCCCTTTGTTTTCTTTCACTTTTGATTGTGCAATTTTAAAGAAATTTGTAGGAAAATGAGCTTCCATGTTTCTATTTGGGGAGATTATATATTCTTGTATTCTTTCAATTTCTCTGTGTCTCTCTCTCTCTCTCTCTCTCTCTCTCTCTCTCTCTCTCTCTCTCACACACACACACACACACACACACACACTACATTCATGCTAAAGAAACCCTCAAAACAGCATATACTCTGGATAATAGAAAGAAATAGAGCTATAGTTTCGCTATAAGTCATAATTCACTAATCCCACGGTGTATGCAAATTAATTTAAATAAGAAATCTAAACTCTCACCCACACACAGAAATCAATCTCATCACTTTTAATCACAATGTTTATATTCTTTACTTAGGATGTGGCTTGCCTAGTCCCAAAGAAATGGATATTCTACAGCAATAGGTTTAGGTTTGGGGCTATAAGCCCTTTTTTGTTTCTTTTTAGTTTACTAAACTCAATTATTTTTATGAACCTTTTTTTCCTTTAAATAAATGAAAGGAAAGCTTTATTATACATCCAACTATGATTTTCAATCTTGGGGCCAAAATTTCTCCATTTAAGTCTTATTACCAGTTTTATGAAGTAAGAAGTCTTGGAAGTTTAAAGCTCAAAAGTAATATCCCAGATCCTTCCAGATTCTGGTCAAGCTTCATCACTCCATCCTGACAACAAAGAAAATGCTGAACAAAATGAAAAATTGACAGCTTTTAGTTTCATCAAAGAAGTGAGGTCACAGGGCAAATTACTGCCCCTCTTCCCAAAATTTGGAACAGGAAGGTGGATACAGAGAATCATAACTTAAAAGAGCAAAAACTTCTGTGGGAACCAGTACCAGAGCAGGAAGCCAAAATTGTAATTGAAAATTGGCTGGAGGCTCAGTGTGAACAAGTCTGAGAGTTCAAACCTCCAGAGAGAATCCAATCATGGTGTGAGGGGTCACCTGGCAAGGGGAGGGGGGGAAGTAACCACAGTGAAATACACCAGAGAATTCTATCCTTCACAAGACCTGACCTCAAGAGAAACTGTTTTATCAGCCCCTAACCTATAGAGTTTCATCAGGGCCCAACCTACCTAGGAGAAGAGAAATACCCAGCTCCAGCCCTCTCTAGCCATCCTTATAACCTGAGAGGAAAAGAAAAGACCTGAGAGACACTAGTGAAGTTCCCAGCCCAAGGGCACAGGCTCACTAAAAGACTGAGACATAATCATAGGACTATAGAACTCTTTCCCTCCCACCACACCTCACCACCATATACCAAAGGTCCTTTTACCCAGGATATCATGTTCACCTTTAAACAAAAATATATACAATATAGTAAAAGGCAAAAAAAAAAAAAAACAACCAAAAAAACCCCCACCAAGTTTGAAGAGACAGAGAAAGCATCAGACCCAGATCCAGACACGGCAGGGATATTGGAATTGTCAGACTGTGAATTCAAAACAACTATGGCTAATATACTAAGGACTCCAATGGAAATGTAGACATCATGTAAGAACAGATTGGTAATGTAAGCAGAGAGGTGGAAATCCTAAGAAAGAATAAAAAAGAAATGCTAGAAATTAAAAGCACTGAACAAATGAGGAGTACATTTGATGGGTTCATTAGTAGACTATACACAGCTGAGGAAAGAATAGCTGAGCTAGGTATATTATATTTGACCTGTAGAAAATCAAAGATGAAGAAATCTTCAAAGAAGCCAAAAGAAAAACACACCTTACCTATAAAGAAGCAAAGATAAGAATCTCATCTGACTTACCCTCAGAAATCAGGTAAGCAAAAAGAGAGTGGAGTTAAACATTAAAGTGTTAGGACAACAGGACAACAAATCCAAACCAGCCTAGAATTCTGTATCCTATGAAATTATCTTTCAAAAGTGCAAGAGAAATAACACATTTCTCAGACCAACAAAAATTTAGAGAATTTATTGCCTTGCAAAAATATTAAAAGTTCTCCAGAGAGAGGAAAATAATACAGGTCAGAAACTCAGATCTGTGTAAGAAGGAAGACCATCAGAGAAGGAATAAGTGAAGTTTTAAAAAAACAAGTTTTATTTTTTATATTCTTAACTGATCAGATAGCAGTTTGTTCTAAATAATAGTAAAATATATTCACTGATTATAGCTAATGCATAAGTGAAATTAATGATAGCAATGATACAAGAAACAGGAAGAAAGAATTAGGAATACTTTGTTATTTATAAGGTGCTTACACTACCCATGAAATGGTATAGGGTTATTTGAAAGTGAACTTGGTTTAATTGTAAATGTATATTGCAAACTCTAGGGCAACCACTAAAAAGAAAAAAGAAAAAAGTATAATTGACATGCTAAGAAAGGAGAGAAAATGAAAGTATATAAAATAAGTACAAAAAGCAAAAAATAATGAAAGGCCAAAATAAAACAAAGAGCAAGGGCAATGAATAGCAAACAGTAACAAACATGGTAAATATTAACTATATCAATAAGTTTAAATGTCAATTGTCTAAATATACCAGTTAAAAGACAGAGATTGTCAATACCCAAGTATATATTTACAAGAAACCACCTTTAAATATATAGATACATAAAATTAAAGGGATAGGAAAAGATATACCATGTAAATGTTAATTATAAAATAGATGAAGTAGCTATATTACTTTCACAAAGAGCAGACCTCAGAGCAAGGAATATTATCAGGATTAAAGAGGGGTTTTATGTATTAATAAAAAAAACGAACTCTCCAAGAAGACATGATAATCCTAAATATATTTAACAACAGTGTCAAAATACATGAGGCAAAAAGTAATAGAACTACAAGAAGAAATATATAAATCCACAATTATAGTTGGAGACTTCTACAACTAGGAATGGAATGTCAAAAATGGACAGATCCAGCAGGCAGAAAATTAGTAAGGACATAATCGAACTCAACATCATCATCAATCAACTGGATATAATTTGACATCTATAGACTACTTCATCCAGCAACAGTAGATTACAGATTTTTCTCAAGTTTCACGTGGAAGATTTATCAAGATAGATCACATTCTGAGACACACACTATACCTTAATAAAGAGTAAAATTTAAAAGCAAAAAAATCATAGAGTGCACGCACTCAGACCGCAATAGATTTAAACTAGAATTCAATAAGAATTGAAAGGCAGCTGGAAAATCTCAAAATACTTATAGATCAAACAATACACTTCTATGATAAAAAGCAAGGACCTATAAACTATTCTATCCAGCAAGTCTATCATTTAAAATTGAAGGCAAAATAAAGAGCTTCCCAGACCAAAAAAAAAAAAAAAGACTAAAGACTAAAGGACTTCATTACCACAAAACCAGTATTGCAAGAAATGTCAGCATTGTCCTAATCCAAAACCAGATAAACACACTACAAAGGAAGAAAGTTATAGGCCAATATGCCTAATGAACATAGATGCTAAAATCCTCAACAAAAAATTAGCAAACCAGATCCAGCAATATAGTAAAAAGATCATACACCATGATCAAGTGGGATTTATTTCTGGGATGCAAGATTAGTACAATATCCACAAATCAATTAACATGATACACCACATAAACAAAATAAGGATAAAAATCACATGATTATATCAATAGATGCAGAAAAAGCTTTTGATAAAATCCTCTTGATGATAAAAACTCAGCAAAGTGGGAACAGGTGGAACATACCTCAACATAATAAAGGCCATATATGACAAACTCACAGCCAACATCATACTCAATGGGCAAAAATTAAAAGCATTTCCCTTAAGATTGGGAAGAAAATAAGGATGCCCATTTTCACCACTCTTATTCAACATAGTACTGGAAATCCCAGCCACAGCCATCAGACAAGAAGAAGAAATAAAAGGCATCCAAATTGGAAAGGAGGAAGTAAAACTCTCATTATTTGCAGATGACATGATACTGTATATAGAGAACCTTAAAGATTCCACCAAAAAACTACTAGAACTGATAAATGAATT